TTACATAATTATAGTTGAGTTAATACACAAACACATGTAATAGAATAATAAAAACTGTTTTAGGATAATATAGTTTACTTAAGTAGTTCGGGTTATGACATAGATAAAGTTATTTGATTATTCTTTTACATTGCTAAGTAACTTAATATTACTCATTTATGGTTAAATAATGAAATAACAATAATTAACTTTAATATTTTTATGTTTATAAGAACCAAGAGTAATTATTTGTTAAATACCTGCTTTTCTAAGAAATGAGCCACTCGGGTCCTATATTGAGATGGCACTGAAGGTAATATACGATCAGCAATTTCAAAATCTTTCCTCATGACTGCAGTTTGGTATTCCAATACAGATAAAAGAAGGCTATAAGAAACAATGTTAAGTTCTTTATCACCCAAGTAGAGTCGATTTTCTTTAGCAACGTATCCTAAGAGATACATTGTACGATCAAGATGAGACACGGTAACAATTTCTCCACCAACATAATAGTTGATACGATTTACTCCATTGGTATAAATAAAGCAATCACCAACCCATAGACCAGTTTTTACAACTTCCTGAACTTCTCCTAAAATCTAAAATGTAATTTATGGTCAATAAAAAATAAATAATTTAACTATATTTAAGATTTAAATCTTTTTTTTAACTTACTTCAAAGGCATCTTCAAGTCCATCAGGACTAGCAGCTTCATAATTGGATGCTCTTGCAGCACTAAGTACATTAACGTCAAAACGTAATATAAAGTATGCTTCATCAGTAGCAAGACACACTAATTCTCCAGATTCTGACCAAAATACATGTTTAGGTTGAGTTTCAATTCTTCGTACTAAGTTACCATTTTCCCAATCATATAGAGCCAAACCAGTAACAGATTTCACACCTAACAAATAACCTCCAAAAATACCATCGGCTCCACCTTCTGGTTTAAAAGATTTTTTTTCTTTAAAATTCTTAAAGACTTTGATTGTAGAAGAATTTTCTCTTATTGCATATTCAGAGTCAGAAGACCATACAAAATCTTGAGCAGAGCCAAATGCTTTGTTACGTAAAGCCATGGATGTGTATATAATATACTCGCCATCACCACATACTACTAAAAATCTACCATTTGGATTATGAGATATTGACTGTGGATAAATTTCACAGCTACCCATATCTTTAACTTGTATGGATAAACGTTCTCCATCCTTGATTTCAGTTCCTTCTACTTGAAGCATTGCTTTAAGATTAGCTTGTTGAATTTCACTATGACGTGCCCAAACAATTTTACCACCATGAACATCCATTGACATAGCTGGCTCTTCACGACCAACTTTAACCATTATACTACCTTCATCATAACTAAAAATCATAAATTATAATTACCATTTTGAGTTAAATTTACAATAGAATTTATAAGTTAAAATAATAAACTATATTCTTACCCTAAAGCCACATTATTAGATCCTCGTAAGCAACAGATTGTCCATACACGTTCTAATCCATAATTTAATGATGATTCTAATCGATAAGTACCAGAATGCCAAATTCTGACTGTACCATCTTCTGAACCAGTTAAAACAATTGGAAGTTCTGGATGGAAACAAACTGAAAAAACAAATATTTTTGAATTAGAATAATTTGATAAACAGTCAATAGAATTTTATTACCAGCAGAAATATTTTGAGCATGGCCTTCTAATGTCTGAACACATGTTTTGTTTTGGTAATCCCAAATCTTAACAAGTCTGTCATCAGCACCCGATATTAAATAAGGCTTATCTCCAGCATGATAATAGTCAACACAATTCACTCCTTTTTCATGTCCTTCCAACGTAAAATTTGGTGTTGAAGAACCAAGTTGCCATACTTTAACAGTTCGATCTAACGAAGCACTAGCAAAAGTATTATTATCTTTGGGATTTATCATAATTTGCATCACATAATGTGTATGTCCCTCAAAAACTTGTTGACATGCCCATTGTTTTTCCCAATTCCAAAGTTTTATCAACATGTCATCTATAAACCATACAAATTGTAAATGTAAAACAATTTTCTTTGTACATAATAGGTAGTATGTATTTTTCTTTGTTAGCTTAATAGACTATTAAGGAGAACAAATCAGTTCATCCATACAGAGTATATCAAACATTTAATACATACCACTACTTGTAAGTATAAAAGGTTGTGAAGGATGAACTGCAATACTTCGTAAATAATCAGAATGCGCATCTAGTTGATGAACACGCTCCAAAGTATTATAGTTGATAACACGCAATTGCATGTCATCTGAACCAGTAACAATCCAATTTTTTCGAGCAACAAATCTAGCTGCTCTTACAGGTAGTTCACATACCTAATATAAAATATTATGAATATCAACAATTTAACATCTACATTTATACATACACATGTATAAACATAAAAGATATATTCACACTAAATATAGGCCATACAAATATCTATTTCTATATCTACGTAACAACTACAAAAGTAAATATAAAATATTTCACTTTAATAAAGTAGTACATTTTATACAAAGTAAATTTTTAAAATTTATAAAAAATAATTAATTAGCTTTTAGTTATCTAAAATTGATTCTCTAATTTAAAATATTAATTATTACTAAAAAAAATAAATCAAAATTATAAATTAATAACTTTTTATTAATATAAGAGTTTAAAATGTAATGACTAATTATGTAAATAAAAATAGTTACAAAATAAATATAAACTGTAATTAATAACTAGGAAATGTTTTAATATTTAATTATAATTATCAAATATTAATTTGTTTTTGTCAAATTTGTATGATAGGATCTCCATATTAATTTACAATATTTAACTAAAAGTTATAAATGCAATTTAATCATAAATATATGTATGAGAAAATTAATTTTAAGTTATAATACATAGACGTGCTCCATTTCAAGACATCAATTGTAAATCTCAGAACTAAGAATTTTCATTTAATATAGAAATAACCTTATTATTGATGGCAAATATTAAAATATTACAAAAGTATTATGATAAATATAATTTAATTAATAATGTGTATGTTTACTTCATATGATTTAATGAGTATAGCTGTTTCATGGTTCCATATATGAACAGTGCCGTTGTATAAAGATGCCAACATCCATGGTTCTTTCGGATGAAGGTCGACACACTTCACACGATCTGACCGAGCAGTCAACTTACGCTTGATGTCTAAACGCAAAGGCTGGAAAATTCCAAACGAATAAACACAACACTCTAGATAAGTCTTATATAATATGATGTAGTCATATCTCAGGCAGTTATAATAGGCACACTCACCATTTTTAAGGTTTTACGATTAAAGCCTCAGAATATCCACTGTGTCGAGTATTCGTGTGAATTATTTGATGGTTCAAGGAATGACATGTACGGGTTCAAAATATTAAAATTATTATTAATTATATGTATTCTGTATTCGTGTAACGAGTATGTATGGATGTAGAATGTTGTCGTCGGCAGCAAGTACATCGGTCTTATCAGTATCATTATCAACGTCGACCGATGATGACGGACGTGTACACAAACAGTCGTGCCAAAACTTAAATCATAAACACTGTATGTATATGATCCAAATACCGATCAAATGCTGCACATCACATCACTCTGGAACACTACCTATTATTTCTACAAAATTTTATACTATATAGACACATTTTTCAAATTTAAATAATATTCATATTATACGTTTGTTCTAGAAAATACCTATTTATAAATCTTGTCACAGTAAAGAAATATTTTTTAGATTTCAAACTTAAGCATTTAAATTGAAATGTTGAGTTTAAATAAAAAATAATAACAAAATCAGGGAACTACTATGTTTCTGCTCTTGTTCTTTAGTAGGTGTTGAATATATTTTCATTGATAGAGTAAATCATTACGTTTCAAATCCATACAAATTTTAAATAATAAATTTTAACGACAAAGAAAATAAATCATTATTAAAACATTTAAACTACTACTACTATGGTGTTACTATTTTCTAACTGTTAGGTAATAGCCAACAGGTTCACTGTTTTTCGGAACAAAAATTTGAAGGGATAAATATTTCGTAGATTTATGTATTTTTGGTAAAGTATGTTATAATTATTATAAACATAGACCTTTGGTTATAAATAATAATGGTTTTGTGAGACATAGTTTCAAAATGTGTTATACACCAGAATAACACAATAATTACTTTTTAAGCCAAATCACATAACACAAGTGTAAATACCTATTTAATTCAACTTTTGTATAAAATAAAAATATAATGCAGACTGTTTTATCAAGTTATATTTCAAATTAAATTTATTCCAATGCACTACTTGTTTCCATCAAATATCTTCCATTTGTTCAAAACAATATTTCTCCCAATAACCACTTTTTCCACAAGAAATTTGTTCCAATAGTAATTTGTACCAAATTTTGGAAGCTGATGAGTGATGAATCATGAATGAGAAGCCTACGGCGTGCAACAGCAACAGGTTTCGTCAACAAATATAATGTTTACCTATTGGTGGTTATTCGACTATTGCTTATTATTATTTATTACGATGTATGGACTATGATAAATTCATTTTTCGTTAAATTATGTAGATTTATAATGGTTGCCCGTTGATTGTTTTCTTATAGTAGCGGCTATTGACAACATAGTACTTAGTATTATATAGGTAAGAGGAACTATAACAAACTATACATCGCGGTCGCTAACATACCTATAAATGTTTCATTAACATTTAACAGACATAATATATTCTGGTAATATAATACGTCTATGGGATAATAATATTATGGAATCATAGACCTATAAAGCGATTGCTATAGACTTATAATTTAATGGTCTATTGACTATTCGTCAAATATTCGACAATACTTTTAAAATAATATCACACGAAAAATATTTATATGGGTTGGGTATACATAATTATATTGATCAATTGATGACTAATAATGTGTTACATTACGGTTTCGTGTTTCATGCCGACCGTCAACGTCGCTCACCATCTGATGCTCGCCACACACTACACTCCAGTTAGTAGTTTAGTACTTACTACTTGGTAGGATGTAGTAGGTAATACGTACAGTGCGTTGTTGATGTTTATAAACTGACCTCAAGGAGGAGAACTTGTTAGGAGGTGTCGGTGGCGCGTCACAGTCTGGTACTACGACGGTAGACGGCCAGTATCACCATTAACCATTCGTCACTGACGGAGCAACAGCGACAAAGAGCGTGTCGTCGACAGAGCGTTCGTCCGCCGACGGTCGCGACTGCCTCAGTCTCTCGCGACAACCGTTGCCCACTGGTGTTTGTGCGTGTGTAGCCATAGACAACGACAGAAAATGGTTTCCGATGCCATCAGAGAACATTGTACCGTGCTGCGACGCTGAGCGTCGTCCGGCTATGCATTGTCAGTTTGGATTTGGCGGCGTTGGATCCATGGGGGACAACGTTAGGAAGAAGGCCACCAGCGACACGTTGCCCAAACCCGGAAAGGTCAACTCTGGTACTATACTATTATTATTATTATTATTATTATTGTTATTGTTATTTACGTAATAGAGATTTTGAGCGGAACGATGAATTTATTTGTACTTGTTAGTTATAAATGTTTATAAACATATCGTAGTTTGTTTATTCATACACCCGAAATGTAGGCCAAAGATCTCCGTCTTCTTTTATGTATGTAACCCTGTAAATATCCTAAATTCGTTAGAGAAAGAAAGTGGTTGTTGTGTTTTGGGTTACTTTCACTTCAGTGTTGTGGTGTTCTATTAGCCCGGGGTGTTGTAATACTTCTGCATGATTGCATAGTGCTGGGTCATGTTAAGTATGGGCAGGAGCATAATTTCATTTTGCTTCAATCACACAAAATTTTTTTTCACTGTAACTGCATCCTATATGGTTTTGGTGTATTTCTGGTCACATTTAGTGATTCAATTGTATTGGTATTTTTTAGTGTCACAAGAAGTAGTAGGATCAGTTGTCAGTAAATCTAATTTGTTTAATAATTTTTTTTAAATTTTCAAATTGAATATATTTTGATTTTTGAGTTCCCGTGATTACTATCTGTTTTATATTTTTATCTTTTCAAGAAACGTATATATTTGTAGTATTTATTTTATAGCTATTTTAAATCAATTATATTTAAAAAAAAGCATAATTTAGTTGTTGTTTTGTAAGCCATTTATTGATTACAAATATAATAAAAATTGTCTAGTTTTATATTTAGGTAATAAGAGCCTACTTAATATTATGTACAAAATATAGAGAAGCACTTTCAATGCAGTTCCCCTATCCTTATTGGTTCATAACATAATAAGGTATTTACTAAAACAATTTATTGCCATGTAAAAAATAAAATTTATTTAAAAAATACCTAATTATCAAAATTATTTATCTTATTAAAATATATATATTTATATATTTTATTTAATTATTACATAATAAATAAAATGAATTTTTTGATGTGATCAGAATTGAGAAGTTTATAAAGGAGGAAAATTCTTCATATTATAAATACTTTCTTTTTTAAATTGGATTATTAACATTTACTAGAACATCTGATTTCTATATTATTTCAATAGTTCACTAAAATTAAATGAGATATTAAATGTACAAAGGAAAATTAGCTCACTATTGATTCATTTAATACTTAGTAGGTAATTGATTGCATAATCAGGCATATAAATAATACTACTTAAGGTGGCAAGGTGTCTGATTTAATGAATATTAAACTGTCTTATTTTTAAGTTTTTTGTTCAGTTATTTTAACTACTCAATATATGACATCAGAATGTTGTTTTCCAAAAAATATTGTTACACATATTTTGTTTTATAGTATGTTATTATAAATTTGTCACATCTCAAAACGTTTTAATTACTAAGAACTATGTTGAAAAATAAATTTTTATTTCAAAATTATCTTCAAATAAAATTATTATTTTTATAATGTTTTAACATAAAGTATTTTTTATTATTATATACATAATATGCTCTATAAAATATTTTTTAATTTTTAGTAAATCCATTAACACCTTAAATCAAACATAATTTGTTTCTAACAATAAATATACTAAATTATTAGTCTATCACTTAAGTTATAAAATAAACATAAGCCTTCATTTTCTACAAATATTTTATTGAATATAAATCAGATAAATTGTTCATAAAATTTATGTTATAGTATAAACAACAAAATGCTTCTTATAAAGTTTATTTTGACATTTAAAGTTAGTCTGATTCTTCTGTGGACTTTTTTTCTGTATTAATATCTAATGACTTTCCATATTGTTCCAAATATCGAACCATTGTCAACTGTGTTTGTCCTATAGTCTGCAAGCACCTATTGTTTACTTGTTGTATTACACCAATCAGTGCTGCTCTGGCGTTATCAATATTTACCAGGTTTCCATATTCTATAGTTTGGTTTTTGCTTAACAATTTTCCATCAATTATGGTTGCTAATAAAATTAAATGAGGCATCTTTTTCGTAATTTTTAATAATTTAGGTACCTGTGATGTGCTACTGAATACTATTGAACTGTGTGATTGAAATAAATCTAACACTGCAGCATAATTTGTGTCTGCTAAGGCTAGATTTAAAGTGCTTTTACCATACACAACGTGTTCCATACCAGCCATTTTAAAAGTTTTTTTAGTTTTGAAGTCAATTTCTCCTTTAACTGGATTTTTATGAAATATTGCAACCATTGCACTCTGTTCAAATAATTCTCTAAGTTCTTTAGCTAAAATATTTTCATATGGATTATTTTCGATTTGTTTAAATGCTTTACTGAATGGTTTAGGGCATCTTTCACTCCATGGCATATCTGATGGTTTTGGCCATGGATATTTAGGAATTGATATTGTTTCAATGACTGCACGGTAGTGATCTGGTTTTCTGGGTTTCTGTACGTTGACTCTTCTGTATCGAACACTGATGATATTTGGTATAAATCCTCGGCTACAAATAGCTTTACTTGAACTGTTTAACATGATGTTCCTAATTATTATAGTTAACTGTATTTGATTAAAAATTAAAAGTTTCTAGGTATATTTATTAGCACAAAACAAAAAATAGTGAATTACAACTTAATAAATGTTATTGTAATGTATAATATAACTATTATAACTTAAATTTTTTTTTAAATAATTAAATAATAAATAATAATATCATAAATCTTACTAAACTTAATTTGGAACGATAACCTCAATTTGTTTTCATTATTATCAATCTCAAAAGCAGTGTAGCCATATATTATAATATTATGCTTTAAAATATTGTATTTGGGCGTGTCTTGTTAATTAAAGTTTATACTATAAAAAAATAGTTTAATACATTTATAACTAATATAATAATAATATTAGTATATTATAGTATATAAACAGTAAAAAAGAATATTAATTATCATTTAAAAGAATAATTTGTTATTTAAAAAAAAAAAATTTGACATTATTACGTATTGATGTACATTTAATTATATTTATAATCAGTTATTATTAAAATAGAACATCAGGAATTCGAGAGTAATTAATTAAGAAATTTAACTTCATATTATTTAATCATAGACTTGGTAATTGGTGCAAGACGCAAGTACTTATGTAACGTAGTAAATTGTCATTTATGTATATAAATTGCAATTAAGTATACTTTTATTTGTCTCTTGATAGACTGAGGTCAGTTAATAAGGATATTAAACATAACTGTAAGTTTATTTTTAATGTTTTGCCATAACTACTATTCTAAAAAAATATAAGTATAGTATTGATAATATTATTTAAAATAATGAATAAATAATATGTTTCTATTTATGTATTAAGTATATAATTTGATCGATTTTAAAAAATGTAAATTAATTTTTTATATATCTACCAACTACCTACCTTCATTGTAAGACAAAATAATAATTTTAAAAAATGTATTATTTATTTAGGATTCCAAGTAATATTTTTGTTACTGATTAAATCTTTAACCATCATCTTATAGTTAACAATTATTATCGATGCTAAATATATTTTTATTTGAGAATCTAAGCAATCTAATTGCTTTTTAATAATGTATACCTAAATTTCTTAATGTTTTGTAATCAATAATAGAGGTATAACAATAGTCAATAATAAATCTATAAAATATATTATGTATTCTGGTTTAAACCTAAGAGGTATCTTATGCCACTGTCTACTATTGAGTTAGCTTCTTTATACTTATTAATTCAATTTATGTATAAATTCGTGAAACAAAATATTTGTTATAGTTTTATGTAATGTATCATATAAAATTATGTACAATTTCTAGTATTAACCTATTAATATTGTTTACAACTAATTGGCTAATGGCTTATCAATATAGTATACTAACTCAAATGTTTAATTTATCAGTTTTACATTTTATGTATAAATAAAGGTAGACTAAGATTATACACATTTTTATGTTTCACAATCCATTTAAAAAATATTTTAATTTAATTAATTTAACTAGTGGTTGAATTTTATTTTTTGTTTAATTTACCACGACACTCATTGAAGCGAATAATTGGTTTCGTGAAAGTGCTTTAAAGTAAATTAATTGTCTTCATAACGTACTAGAAAAATAGAAAATAATATTTAAGTCTCGATAACTATTTTACAATTTTACATAGGTATATTGTAGTTATTTCCGATTCATTTATTCCGGTTATATTTTTGTATACGAGTTACAAATAAGTGATAATATGAGCTTTGCATATTTATGTTGGAGGAATAAGTGTCATAATAATATCTGTATCGTGTATTTTAATACTTTTTATTATATATTTTTTGTATTCAGGTCATTTAGGTATAGTTTATCCTTTATTACCATTTGAAAACTGAAATGCTGTATGTGATCTATTTTTTATTTTGTCATGTTACTGGTCATTATGTTGTTATATCTCGTTCCAATTTGGTTTTTGGTTCGGTTGTTTGTTTGGTAGTGGGTTTTCTCGAGGAAAGAAATCACAAATACAGTTTTGGTCGTTAAATTACTTTTATTAATTTATTTAATGAATAACCTTAAATTTTACACTGTAAGACAAATGTCTTGTTAATACTACGGCTTATGAACGACTGACTTAAGAAAATATGCTGGCGACGGATGTCGCATACGCATCGAAATTGCTTACATGGTGTATTCTTATTACTAACTAAGGGGTTCTTAACAATGTATTTATACTTGGTAAAAATATGTATATTAACAATCTCGATTGAAGAATTTTTAAACTTTAAATATATAATATAATATTACATTGTATTCGATACCCATTGATAATAAATATCTATTAATATTAATATTAATTGAACTAGAATACCAGCTATTAGGAAACTCTGTTCACATTATTATAATTTACTATAAGTTTACATTGAGATTGCATCTAACAAATTCTGCTTTTATTTATTTTCTCTCCTTGGATAATTAAAAAAAACTAAACGAAAGTAGTTGTAGTTGTGGCAGGATGAATAGTCTGTCTGTCGGGCGCCACAACCGGTGTACGAGCTGTGCAAAGAGGGAATTAAGGTGGCTGGTACGTCAGGAAATGGCTCGGTCGGTGGGGTTGAATGTATGGGAAGTAAATGGTGGACATTAGGTAAAAATAATTTATTTACATGTAGTGACGCATTGTGCACAAGTATTAGGTACATATATTAAAAACGTTTGTTGTGGTGCATGTAAGTACTTAATATATTTACAATTTTCATCGTAAAATTTAATCACTCGCGCGAGATCAGTTGCTGAAAAAAATAATGTAATATTATATTTGACCGCTGTCTGCACGACTATAGTCGTAGGTGTAGTTGCACGGTTCGATTAATGTTCCATGGTATACAATTGTGTACGACTCGGACTTCTACAGGCTACAGTTCCAGTTGTAGTCCAGGCCTCCGAGCAGCTTAACGACTGATACACCTACTCTGCAGGCGTTTTCTTGAACATGAAATAATCACCGCTCGTCTGTTGATCGTCATTGTTTCTAGTATAGCTGATTGATTGTTTTATGTATGACGACAGAATAATAATTAAATTGCAATTATTATATCGCGAAATTTGTTTTCGTAATTGTTTATAACGAGTAGTGTCCCATCTGAATAAAAGTAAATTTTTGTTTTCGGATACGCACGACTTTTCGAACCCGTGGAATTTATCCTACTTATTTTTTTCACTCTTCATCACGAGGGAGAGGGAGAAAGCGCCGCCTCCGCCGCACCCCATTGCCGAAAACCACCTGCCAACCCCAGAGCAACAGGTAGTTTGTCAGTATACAGCGTATGCACCCATGTGTTACTTATACGTGCGCTGGAACAATATTATTTGTTATTATTATTTTATATTATTTGTGATGAAAATTGTAGCTATTTTATGTATAAGTGTATAACGTCGCTCAACGCCTGTCATTTTCCCGCCAGAACAATTTTGTTTTATTTTTAAAATGTTTTCTTTATAAAGGTAGTAGAGGTAAATAATATTATTTTTTACTGTATAAAAATATTTTAAATATACAGAGAAACATTTAACTTATTAACCGGTTGGTAAACCTGATACAACTCATACTCGCGCACGCACACATCTATTCATCCAGGCGTGAAACCATTGTGACTTTCCATTACAATGAACCTCATATAGGACCGTTTTTTCTTGTTATTATTTTCTCACAGTCTATTCACAATCAACAATAGAGTCTATTGCTGACGCGCTCGTCTCTCTCTGCAGGTACTCATTTCATGGAATGTATTTTAGACCTTTTTTTTTTGTTTGTTGTATATAAGATCGTCGTTTGTTTATGCTATAGTAGTGTCTATAAAGTGGAGTAGGAGGTAGGCCTTGCTGTATCATTATTTTTATTATTAATGATGAAATGTTTTTTTTACATTGAATTCTCATTTTAACTGCTTTATTATTTTCTAGTGTGTAAAGAATGGTTGGTCCACGAGGACGGCGCATTGGCGTATCATTTACAAAAGTTGGAAGGTCAGTATACTTGTTGCTCATTATTTCCACTTAATGTATTTATTATTATTTTACAGTCGACGAGCATTACAGTGGCAATCGTTCAAGAAATGCTATCGTTCGACAAGACTTACCTACAGCCAAAGAAGAACAGGAACGTGAGATACGTGAAGCTGAAGAACGGTATAATGCATTCATCAAAGAACAGTGAGTACATGTATAGAGTATAGATAAATAATTTCTAAACACCAACATTATAATTAAGTCTTTATCTGTGCTATCTTCCTGTATAAGTTTTTTGCAATTTTCTTAATAATATTAATAAAAAAATAAATACCTATAAAATTTAGGTTTATTAGAATTTTGATAGTATAGTAAAATGTCTTTTTATAATAGATTTTCTGTAAGACAGAAATTCCTTTACAATGAAAATTAATGAAATTTTCGTGTAGTTTAATCTACTTAAAACTCTTAGAATGGAAAAAAAGTTGGTATGAGTAATTCCATTAAAAGGTAGTTTTACAGTAATATTATTACATTCATAAAGTTGTTCTTTTAGCACAATAACTTATTTTTTTTTAATAGCTTATTATATTATGATTAAACTATCTTATTTTATTTATACTTTTCTAGGGAAGAAAAAGATCTCAAAGTTGCTATGGAATTGGCTGAAAAATTAACAAAAAATAAGTATACACAAGACATTGGGATTAAGACAAATTCAGCTGGAGGTAGACCTGGGATATTAAAAAAACATCGTCAACCTGAATCTACTAAAAGGTATGTATTGTATCTAATTTCTGCTTTAAATATGGTCTTAATTAAATAAATATATATTAATAAATTAATAAAGTTATACAGTTGAGTCCAATGAATATACAGAGTTTGACATTGATGACATTTTGCATGACATTGATTATGAAGAAGAGGTCAATCGTCGAATTCAAGAACAAAAGGATGCTGTGAGTATTGCCTTTTTGTTGTTCATACTTTATTAAATAATTATTAGATCCACAGTCATAGCATTTAACGGGTGTTGTCTTTAGTTCACGTTAATATTTACAATCGTGACTAGAGTTACACTCGTCAAATTCTAAAGACCTAAGCACTAGGATTCCAATGTAATTAATATTTTAGCTTAGTTATATATAATATTTAGTTAAATTAGTAATTATTAATAATAAAATATAAGGAATTGGCCAAACGATTACAAGAACAAGAAGGACGTCCCATGTCAATTGAAGATAGAGATAGATTAATTGCTATTGAAACACAAGACTGTGAATTGGCTAAGCTTTTACAAGAAAAAGTAAGATGTATAACCTTAATGTATTAAAAATTTACTAAGCTACAAATTTTTTTAGGAAAAAGCACGATTGAGGAGAGCTCGTGAAAAAGCAAAACAAAAAGCATTACTTAAAAAGCAACAACAGTTGGAAGAATCCCCTGAAGTTGTAGCAAGTACTCAAGAACCTCTTTCTAATATCGCTATTGCTATTGATCCGACTTATAATTCAAGAAGAACTGAATTACAAGATATGTCTTGTAAGTGTATTAAATATTAATTAGTTTTTATTTATTCACTTAAATAATTATGAATCGTTTTTTAGGTAGTAGTACTACTTCATCAGCTCTATCTTCATCATTGGATGATGTTCCTCCATACATGCCAATTCAAGGACAACGACGTAGCAATCATACAGATAAGAAAAAAAAGTCAAAGACTGATGGTGTTGCATCATTTTTCAAAGTATTTAAGTAACGTTTTGTGGAGGAAATATAAATTGTGATATTTCTATATTTTAGATTCTCGGCATAACAGAGAATGTATTTATAGTAAATTCTTTATTTAGTTAATTTACTTTATCTTAAAAATTATTATTAATCAAAATCTGGTATTCCACCAATTTATAAAATTGTGTTCATTGTCTAACTGAACATTTTTAAATAGTTCGTGTAAACTGAAATAACGAGTATTTTTAGTTCATTTTTTATATTTTGCTTGTTGTCATTCTTTATTTTATCATCTTATGGTTCATATAAAAAAAAAATGTATATTTTTTTATTTATATTGTTCTTATTGTAATTTTGGAACTAATTACATTAATCTATTGGTAATTGTCATGACATGAAAAGAAAATTGTATGTATAGCATTTTATTATTTTTATTGTTATTATACTAATAAAATAAACAATTTTTGTATTATTATATAATAATGTATTGCATAACCTGTAGAATATATATAACTTCTAATCTAACCTGCTCTACAGCTTGTTATTTTGTCAACTTTTCATACATCCCTGATAGAAATGAATTAATACTTAGATATATTTAATATTTCAGCAAACAAATTTTTTACATAATATTTATTTTAGTAACTTGGCTTTTAATTTTTTGGGGGTTTTTCAATGTCTGTTTTTAGATACTGAATTCTAGTGTTTAAAAAAATTGTCGCCCTTTGGTTTTAGAAATTTACTACAAGTCTGGAAAACTTGATTTTTCAATAATCTGTTGCAACATGGTGTCTATAAATATTTGATAAAAACTTTTAAATGATAGTGACTTTGATGCTGTCATGCTGATTATATATATGCAAAACAAAATGTGTGGGAGATAATAGTTTTAAGTAGCGTTAAAAATTTGTAATTTTTTGTAATTTGTGCGCCTAAAACCATCTTGCTAGTTAAAAGTTATAAATGTTACATATTATGTGTATTATATTATATCAGTAATTTGTCCTTTAACACCGTCACAATATAATTGTAATTACATTTATTTTAAGGGTATTTTGTGAGATCTCTCACCTTTTAGATGGAATAAACTTTAACCCATGTGTTAGGAGTTTAAAAGATTACAATTTTAAACACAGGAAATGACTACTAAGGTACTAATTATGTATCAATGATGTGGTAGTGTTATTGGATTATGTTTTGAGATCACTTAATATTATTCCCCATATGCGACCAAAGGACATCAATAATTAGAATATAATTTTAGGTGTTTAAATGATTAACACACGTACAATTGAATTTTTATGTAAGTGAATTCAACTATTATCTTTTTGTACACATCGTGGATGTTTCCCCCAACTCGAGGTAAATGATTCATGCTTGACATGTCCAAGGGATACACTATAGGTTTTTTGTTACATATCTATATTAAAAATAAATAACACAAATAAGCTGAATGCAGTTCTAGATTGAATATTGCACCGTTCATTCATTTTAATCGTCTATGCATATTAATATTAGGATAAGAGCCTCACTAAATATAAAAATTTAATTCATTGTTTTAGCTAATGTTTTTGATTTTTTAATATAATACACACATTTTATGAGTACTTTATTATTTTTTATATTTGTGAGTAAAAAGTTTAAAAGCTTTAAGCTTTTGGGAACTGCTGATATAAATATTTAAATACTAGCTGAACTCTTTCGCTGTCATTTATGTGTAGTAAAAATAAGAAAAAATTATAAAAAATAAGTACACTTAGACCTTAATTTAGAATAATACAATATGTTTAGTATTTAGAAGTAACTAAGAATATTAAGTGATTTAACTCATTTTTAATAATACTTTACATTAGTTACAAACTTACATAATATATCAACTATATTGAAAATGTTTCACCAGGAATTTCAACAAACAAATTTGAGAATTCATAGAAATTAGAAAGCCTGTGCTCATGATTTAAGATGACAAAGCAGTAGCACTGCTGTAGACGTAGGAATAGCGTTGTTGGAAACGTGAGTGTACACTATAAGGGACATGCATCGATACATTTTTTGACTTTTCTCATTAGATGGCTTATTCACACATCAATCACTTGCATTTTAATAAGAAACATGAAAATTGGTCCTGTAGAACTTTAGGTATAGCTGTAAGGCAAAAAAATTGACTTGCATTTTAAAGATATGCAAAGATAAAGATAATAATATGTTTTTTATTTTAACAGAGTTGAAAAGTTTGACCACTCAGTGGACACTGTACCAAATATTTTCATTGTGAATAAATGAATACTATGAAATATAGATTTATAAAAGACCAATGTTCTCCTACTTAAATTCCAATTTCTACAACTGTACTCCTGTTTAAGAAGTTATTTGAGTCCTAGAAATGTTGCTACAAATAATGATTTTTTTATGGATCACCAACAAAATATCGCCACTAAAAATTCGCAATTGAAATATTACGAAACTAATATGTACATCGCATGAAAAATAGCAGTAATTTAATTAGAAATAAATAATATTGATCATTGATTGAACCTATATAATAGTTATAAATAATTTTATATAATATTGTCATATAAATATATAGTAGGATTGATATGTATATTAATTAATGGAAGTATATTATATTAAATGAAATGCTTTGAAGATGATCTTCAAACTCTTGATAATGATAATCTGCTATAACTTTCTTTACTAGTTTAGTCCAAATGACTCTCTTGTTCTTTTTTAATCAGTTAGATGAGGCTATAACGTATATAGCAGATACAATATAAAATTATGGCGGTAATATTTCTTTACGATATACTGGTTTCACGACATTTTTGTTGCGATATTTAGTCAAAATATTGTTTTTTATTTGTTTAAAACATGTATTTGATTATTAATGTACATAGTAAAAGAGGTTAAAAATAAACTTCAAACTTTAATACAAAATATTTCAAAATACAATTTATGTTTTCAATAATAAACAAATATCCAAATAAGTATTTTAATATTAAATTAAATTATTTATATTTCAATCAGAGCTCTGTAACCAATAAGAGTGATACTGTAAGAAAACAAATGTTATATACTTATAAGTAGTTATAATTAATATTATGAATTTGTATTTATATAATAATGTATTTTTTAATAAATTAAGGCAATTTAAAAATTTATAGATTCTAAATTAAAACATAAATATTTCAATGATTTTAAAGTTTTTTGTTCAGAATAACAGTGTTTCGTTTTTGAATACTTGCAAATGGGTTGACTCGTGGACATCCACTTTCACGTTGTATAACTTCTACCACACTATAATTGGGAAGCCATGACTATGAAAAAAATATAAAATTAATAAATATTTAATGAAAAAGATATGAAAATTACTTTTTCTTTAAGAGCTGTAACTACAACATTTCTATTTGGTTCAGCGTCATAAGCTATTGATTCACATCCAAAATGTTCGCTATATTCATGAATCAATTTCCGTTTTTCATATTTCATTACTTCAAATGAATGACTTCGAGAATTTTGTTTAGACTAATAACATTGTAATTTACTAGTTAGTTTAAATTGTATAAAATTTAACTATGATACTTACTTGTTTGGCATTAGTGACTAATAAAGCAAGTTTTTCATGGACATAATTACAGAATGATGCATCTTTTTTTGCAAATTCTTTCATGAAATCTGAATATCGAGGAGTGACGTTAGGAGATAAATCTGGATTGCGGATTTGAAGTGCAAGGGCAATACGGCGATTTCTTTCTAATTTAGCACATTCTGTTGTACACTCCAAACTAAAAATTATTAATACAATTGAAATATTTATTCAAGTCAAAATCTTTTTTTAAATAAATTACATTTTATACGACTTTATGATTGGCGATGAGTTAACAATATTGTCTAGGAAGTTCATTGATTGTACTTTAACTTGAAGACGATATTCAACCACCTTGGGGTCAGAACATATCCTAGCTTCTGTCAAATTCCCACAAATACAACTAACACTCACCTTAAAAAATCATTATAAATTATGCTTATATATTTGTATTATTACATCAAATAAAGTTTTACCATTATTTTGCATGCTACTGGCGGACATGAACCATCATGACAAGGTTTAGAACATGGATGACTGCAATCCGTTTTAGGTAAATTACATGGTAACTGACATGGACCAGTGTTACATGGTGGTGGATGACATGGTTTGACACAAGTATGTCTTTTGCAGGGAAGTGGAATGCCACAAGGCATTCCACATGATACATTTTTTATATGACATGGTATAGCAAATCGCAGCTAAATAGTAAAAAAAATTGAAAAGTGGTATACATTGTAGAATAATGTATTGTAATTTATACCTCATGACCACCATAACATAACTTTTCAGTCAGAGCTATACAAGGAGGACATTCTTCCTCGTCATGACATATATGAGTAGCTGGATGATCACATTCATGTTCCCTTGAACAAGGTAATGTACATAATGGCGGACGAGTACCACACCTGATGGGAGGAGAAATGAAACTATTGCCACAACGACAATATAACTCTTCAAAACCTATTAAAATAAACCAATGACTATTAAATTAATAAAAGATTATAAAACAAGAAGATTCAAATATTTATATAGCAAAATACAAAAAAAATTATTAATGAATGAAATTTAATTTATAAATCTACCTTGCATTTATAATACAATGACTCTAATGTTTAGTGTAAAATTATTGTTGAGAGGACAAAAAATGGAAAAAAAACCCTAAAAATGTATGGTGAAATATAAATATATGTTTGGAACTTGATATAAATTATTTTTTTAAGACAATTGTATTGAAATAACACAACCTATCACAGAACTAACAGAAAAAACACATTTTTAAAGGCCCTTACACACTAGGCGAATAGTTCACGCGCGGATGCGATTTGAAATCGCTGCAAATGTTTGCCCAAAATTAAGCATGTGCAATCGATCGTGGATGATTGTGGATTTTATCCGTTCGCTTTACTAGGGTGAATGGTCTATTACAAACTGTTTAATTTTAAGCGAATGTTCACAGCGATTTAAAATCGTGTCCGCGCGTGAACTATTCGCCTAGTGTAAGGGCCTTAATAGTCTGAGCCCTGAGGTGAACAATGTAAATTAGTACTATATAGCATAATTTTGTTATAAGATTTCAGAAATTTAGATTACGTCAAAATGTTACTTAATATGTAACTATTAGGATAACTGATATGTAAAAAAAAAAATACCAAAACCAATATTTTCACATGATAAATAATAAGATCAGATGGTTATACACTTTTATATTATATATATATGTGCACATCCTGCACTAATAATGATTATACCTTATACTTTATATCTTGACAACTGCAATTAAATGAAAAATTGTAATTTCTATGAATAAATTTGATAAATGATTTTTTTTTCAAACAATATAAACTGACAGTTGAAATATTAAATTATATAAATAAGTTAGCTTATAATAAAAATACATTTAGCACTACTAATAATTATAGATTATATATTTACACCTACTTGCTTCAAAGCATATTGCACAGCTGCCAGTATGGCAGACACGATCACAACGATGTTTACGGCAATTTAATAGTCCATTACAAGTTCTAGTACATATATGTTCTTGTGCATTACAACATACTGTCATACATCTATGTTTACCACAAGACATCATCTAAAACTCACAAAATATAATTTTATAAATAATAGAAAATAACTATCTAATAATTGATCATTAGCATGCACACTTTGTGTGTGAGTCTAGGCTATAAACATAATTTTTATATTTCTAAATTAGTAGTTTGCATTATGTATATTAAGATCAGATTAAAATTACTGCCAACTGTTAAAAGTAAAAAAATATTATAATAATTGCAGTATACAAAAATCGTAAAGCTATATAGAACTTAATATTTAATTACTAAGAAAAGCATTTGAATTGTAATAAAAACATTAATTTAATAAAGAAAATAACAAACAATGATAGTGAATTTTTGTTGTTCAAAATAATCTTTCTGAATAGACCTTTATAAAAAAAATGATTTTACCTTGTTACATTTTTTTTTGCAAGTCAATTCACTAGTCACAGAATTACATTTTATTTCCTTGGATCTACTACCACATTTACATACATATTTGGTTTTCCGTTCACAGCGAACACATGGGCCTTCGTGACACTTTTGTTCACAAAGATGTGGATTTTCTACATAAATAAATACAATAAATTAGCTAATAAAATAGCAATATATGTCCATATAGTAACATACCTGGGGGACCACATTCTAGAGGTTTTCCACATGGTTGGTCACACGTGGGTACTGGTTGTGTGCATAATGTACGGTTGCCAAGTTCATCTTCAGTCAATGACCGTTTTCCACAAGGACATCTATTAACAGATAAAGCTATACATGGGTCACATTGACCTACATGACACACTTTCTGGCATAAGTGATTTTCGCAAGACAATTTTTTTTCACACAGATTTCCACAGCTGTAATACATCACCATGGCATTCTCTTGAGTGCATGGTACTTGTCGCTCTGATTTCCCACAATAACATACTGAAAAATAAACCCTTTAATTGTAATAGATATTAAAAAAGCGGGCAAGTGGGTACCACTCTGCTGTACATTAGGAGGTGGGGTGAACCTCGGACTAGGATAGATTAAACTTGAATGCAATGATAGGTGTCATTGTATACGAAAAACGATTCTGAACAGAGATGATTTGTCAGTCTAGGATAACAGCGCTAGTAATGCTAAAAGGAAAATATCCCCCAAACTCTGCCTGTAGTAAAACATTCATAGATATTCTCTAATATCTATGAAAACATTTCGTAACCACAATAATCATTTCGTATAATACATATAGGTATATACGTTTTATTATTTTACTGTAGGATTATTATATATATATTATAACCTGTGGTACAATCAATGTGAAAATTTAAAATTTTTAAATTTCCTTGGTTAATGTTTTAATCTTTAATCGCTTGTAATTGTACAAATTACAAATGTAATTCTTTTATAATTATTGTAAGCTAAATTTATGGAAAATCTTGTATTAAATGTTCAACTCTTAGCTACTTATACAAAAATTTTTATGAATTATACATACAAAATAGTTAGCAAATATTCATGGTTTTGACGAATTTTTGTCAATATTTGAACTTCAAATGCTAATAAACAAAAATTGTGCCTATGTATTCTTAAAACTTTTTAATCACTATAAGAATAACTTATGAGGACCTTTGTATTAAATTTTTAAGTATTTTGATTGGACCAAAAAATTTTTATCAACACTTCGAAAAAAAATGTTCAGAAAAATTGAAAATTTCAGTTGACTATAAATAACTTAAAAAAAGTCAAAATATTTTGAAAATTAAACTGTATATAGATAACACTAACATAAACATTTGGTGAAAATTTCAAGTATTTACAGTGATTAGTTTTTGAATTACAACCATATAAAAAAATCGATTTGGTCGAAAACTGGTTTTGCGTAAAAATTCCTGTTTTTCCGTTTTTTTTGAAAACTGTTGGAAAATGTTAATTTCCACAAATTAATTTGTCAATTTAACCAGATTGGAAACACAAAACATTAAAAGTATATTTCTAGGAGTAAAAATATATTTTTAAATGATAACTTTTCTATTGTAAGACATTAGTTATTTGTTAATATATATCAGTATAAATTGAAAAATAAAGGAATTTGTTTTTGCGTAATAGTAAAAGAGTTCAAGACTTTTTACTTATATATATTTTTTTTTTTTGTAATGATTATAGAATATTCTAGGATAAGATAAAAAAATATTAGATACATTTATTGTATATAAAATGTTAAGATTAAATACAATTTTAACACAATACTGAATGGGGATACTATTAAGCTGATAATGAAAAAGGCAAAACACTGGACCAAAATTAACGGCTGTAATACGATTGCGCCCTCCCTACCTTTTTACATGTAAAAAACGCAACACGATTGCGCCCCACAAATAAGCACGATTACGCCCGTTTTACCATTTTACCCACAAAAAATGCAACACGATTGCGCTCCGTGAAATATAGGTATACATTATTTAAAAATACAATCAAAATGATAAACTCAAAGTTTAAGTTAAAAGTTCGAGTTAATCAAATTCGACTGTTTTATTGAGTATTTTTACAAGTAAAAATTTATAAATTTATTTATTTTTACATGTAGGTACCTAAATGTATTACTATTTAATAGTGTATACTAGTGTATCAATAAGAAACAATTTTTATCAAAGCCAATAATTTAATTTTGTTGTCAATTCTAAGCCTGTAAAATTAGGAAAGACTATATAATATTATATAGACGAAAAATTAAAGTAGGTATCGTAGTAACGTATAAAACGTTTTATAAGCGCATATTAACCCTGGTTTATATTATTAACTTATCATTATTACTTACTTATCTTTGCTATAATTATTTTAGTTGAATGTTCCAGTACTGCTCAACTATGAAAATTTGTTTCAATGATTCATTAAAATTTTAAAAATCTCATATTTTTGTATATTTGTATTTTATATTACATATTATTTTATTTGTTCAATGGCATATTTTGATATTTATTGGGCATATTTACATGCATTTTTTTTTTTTTTAATGTTTTCAAGGTCATAAACAATTTTTAACCTTTTAAAATTAGAAAAGATAATTGTAAAATTTATGATATGTATTAATACAGTCGAATTTGATTAACTCGATTTTTTAACTTAAACTTTGAGTTTATCATTTTGACTGTATTTTTAAATAGTGTATACCTATATTTCACGGAGCGCAATCGTGTTGCATTTTTTGTGGGTAAAATGGTAAAACGGGCGTAATCGTGCTTATTTGTTGGGCGCAATCGTGTTGCGTTTTTTACATGTAAAAAGGTAGGGAGGGTGCAATCGTGTTTCACTGAAATTAACCACCTTAAATGATTTTAGATGTCACAACAGGAAGATGATTATAAACCTGATAGAGATGAGGCACGACAATATCATCAAATCTCTGTTTAGAGTTGAAGAAACTTGATGGCCTACCCCTAAACATAGCTACCTAACCTACATATCTTTTGCCAAGTAGTCGCCACTTGTCAACCATTAGGACTATAGGTCTTTTAATCCCAAACATAGACAAATCTTTTATACTTTTGTGTAGCCAATATAAAGCGGATGAGTCTGAATAAACAGAATATGTTGAGGACATATCAGCTAAATTGAATCCATACCAAATAACGAGATCAATTTCATAGTCAGTTGCCAAGAAATCAATGCCCAAAGGTCATAGACATAATTGTACTCATTGTTGGACAAAAGAATTTGAAAAAATATTACAAGAACTAATAAGGGGTGGAGAAAAAATCAGTTAAAATAAACTTGCTGTCCTCCTTGACGAGGAACAGAGGAAAAGATGAATAGTATTTATGGATGAAACAGACTTTGCTTAGTCGAGTAGAGAAAGTGGGTCACTTTTGTGGAAGTTGGGTGTACCATTATAGCTTAAACCTCATGGAAAGATTGCAAAGTATTACTAAACTTTTGACATGTATGTCTTATGGCTGGGGATCATTCTGTTAAACACCGAGAATGTTACCAATTTACCATGGCGTCATTGGTGCGTGTGTGTGTGCGTCGACTGAAGGGATCGTGGGGACCGGTTTCTGGAAATTAGCGATTATACGAACGTTATCGGAATCGCGGTGACTTGTGATCTATTAATAACATTAGATATAGCCCGTTGTATAATGAATGTATTGACGATAAAAATAACTATTTTCAACTATTTATTTTTTTATTAACTATTTTATCGACACATCGAGATTCGAGAAGCTTGAAACTCGTGACTCGTGAGTACATTTCATATTTCAGTAAACACCGTCCTTTATTATCCATCACTAAAAGTATTGTAAATGACGATTCTGTAGTTTAAAAAATTAAAAATTTTGAAAAATGTATTCTTAATAAATAATTGCTGTCTTTGAAACTTGTTTATTTTTTACACGGGTTAAAAAAGTTACATACAGTTTAATTCTCATCTCCTCGTATCTAATACCAAATTGACATCGACATTATTATGTCAACTATATTTTCAGTAGAAACAAGACATATACATGTAAAAATGTATCTGTATGTAGTGTAGATACACTCGTTTTTTTTTTCAAGCATACTTCATAAAGCATCAAATATAAAATATAAAAATCTGAAATTGAGGACTTTAATGTAGAAGAAGTGAAAGTCGCTCTAAAACTCATAAAAAATGGTAAAATCGTTGATGTTGATGGTGTTTATACGAAATTTATCAAACATCTAAATATTTTTAAACTTAAAAAAATAATTAATTATTATTAAACATAAATTAAAATTTAATTATCAAACATCAAAAAAAAAATTAACCCTTTGATAAAAAAAATTTTGAATATGAACTCGAACAAATTCAGTTGATCAGTAAATTTTCCTAACACTAGTTAAGGTACAGCTGTTGAGTTACTAAACTAGATACAAAACTCAATAATGTATCAAGTATGAAATAAAATTTAACGCCAAACTCACACATGCGGTCTTTTCTTAAAAAAACTAAACAACAAATTTACTTTCAACAGTTTCAACTGAACTGGTTTGGTATTTTCAGATTTAAAATTAGTGATATAATCTATTATCAAACTTAAAGATAAAAATATTATTCTGGATTCCTTGTTGGAATGTCCTTAACAATGCCCTTTAACAAATGTTACAACTATTAAAAATATAACAATTATAAAATTCAAGTATTATTGAAAGCTTATCTAAGATCCAAGTTTGGTAATAATCAATAGCTCAACCAATGTTTATGTTAAAATTAAAAATTTGATATGTATTAAATTCGTAGATAACACTAAAGGATTGTCTAATGAAGTATTTTTATAATGGCTTTTTCTAATGCGAGTTCTTAGAATTAAATAAATACATTTTCACTCATCTAACTAAAATTAGTTAATAATTGAAAATTCAAGAATAAACAATTAATAATAACATCTTTGGATTTTTCATTGATGAAAGATAGTTACAATAACATAAATTAACTATTGTATTAGTCAGTCTAAAAGTAAAGCTTACATAAAATATTAATAAACAATATCAGTTATGTGATTTAAAACATTTATTTATTCTACTTTAATAATCATATGAAACTAGAATAATAAAAACAAATAATTTGATGTCAAAATTACCAATTTTATTTCAAATAAATTATATTTTTTCCATTATTAAAATAATAACTAAAGAAAACCATAACTTACTTATTAAGCATATGTAACAGTTTAAATATAAACAACATTTAATGAGTGTTGAAAGATAAATAAGTATTATTAAATTTACTGCTTAATTCTTAGACATTTATATTTTTAATTATAAAATATATTTATCATACTAATAAGTTATAATAAATAATTCTTTTAAAATAAAAATAAGTATAATGAATATAAATTGGCACTTTGAATACAATGCATGTTTTGTTTTATATTATTTTAAAAGTTATATTTCATTTTAAAATGATAGAAAAAAAATTTATATACATTTGTTTTCTTAAAAAGAGGAACTGGAACTAGAATGTGATCTGGAACTAGAATGTGATCTGGAACTAGCACTAGTGGTACTACTGGAAGCATTATTTGAAAATCTGGAATTGCTTTCTCTACTATCAGTAGAATATTCAGAATCACTAGAAGGGTTAAAACCTAGTTCACTTTCAATAGATTCAGTACTCATGTCCCATGAATGATCAGTTGAATCACTACGCATCGGTGAAGAAACTACCCTTTCTTCAACTTCTTCACTAGAACCACTTGTTGAACTATGATTATCATTATTTGAGTCACAATCTTCATAATCATTATCATCATCATCATCATTATCATCATCATCATCATCATCATCATCATCATCATCACCATCACCATCATCGTCATCTTCTACTTCATAATCACTATTTTCTTCACTGTCATCAGAGTAATTCTCAAAAAATGAATCGCCACGAGGGTAAACAGAACGTGGGAAATGTAACATCGAAGGAAATAATGAACGACTATTCATTCCATAATCTATACCATATACAATTCGTTCCACATTATTTTCATCAATTAAATCATCAACAGAACCATCTTCTTCTTGATAAAAATGACCAATACCAGCAACAATATTATTAATATGAGAAGCAGAATAATATGAATTAGGAACATTCCTGCGTTCAAATAATTCTTCTGGATTCAACCCTAGCATTCTTAATTCTTCCTCTGTTACTATTGATTCAGGCGGTAATCGATTAACCTCTAAAATTGCATTAGCAAATCTTTCATTCGACATAGCGAAAGTTTCTTCTGGAGGATTAAAATCTAAAACAAATAATAGTAAATAATTATATAATGAATACAATTGAAAATATTTAGGCGTTCTTTACATAATGTTTTTACATTTTATAACAAAAACTATGAAATAAAAGGCATTTCTTTATAATTTAAAAGCAGAGGTTTATTTTTGTAAAATTCAAGACAATTTACTTATTTTTTGTGATACGTATTAATATTGTGTGATTAAGAGTTATTATAGAGTAAAATTATTTATTATGCAATGTGTAGAGAATATAAACCACGCTTGAGCAGTTTTTTTAAATATTTTAATTTTAAAAAGATTGACATGAAATTAAAAATATAAATTATTTAAGTACTTATAACTAATTTCAAGATAAAATTATAGAAGAATATGATAATAAATTTTTTTATATAAGTACAATTTACGTTACTCTCTAACATTCGACAAGAAGTGAATTTATTCAAATATTAACTATAAATAAATTGTAGTAAGTACAATATATAAATTTGCTATGGTTTATTACAGAGACAACACATGCTGGTACAATGACATTTTAAATTTGTAACATGGAATAATAATTAGATTTAATGATTATAAACCGTTTTTTAAGACATAATTTATATAATTAAGAAAAATTTAAGCCCATGGACAAAACATATTGAAATAAAGACAGTAACTCACAATTGCTAATTTTTGAATCGGAAATTATAGGTAGATATAGAAATGTTACAATTAAAAATTTTAACAAAATAAAAAAATTTTCTTTATAAATCTAAAATAATTATTATTTTGTTAGAATTCAAAACATAAAATATTTAACTTTTAATATATTGATCTATTTAATATTTAAAAAATTAAATAATAGTTAAAAATTTAAAACAACATTTTAAAAGAACTTTATAATAGTTTATTCTGTCTTACTAACATTTAACACATTAAAGTTAACACAGGAAAGAGCTGTACTCAAATTTGCTATGTTATTCATCTATTACTAGTGTTGTTCGAGTACTCGACTTTGGGAAAAATTTTCGAGTCGAGTACTTGAACTCGACTCGACTCGACTAAAAAAATTTTGTATTCGTAAATACGAGTACTCGACTTGAACCAAATACTCGAATTGAATCGAGTACTTGTTTCAGTGTTTCACTATATAGTATATTATGTAAAAATAATTATTAAATGTTGAAACTATAAATAACTGAGAGAACCCAAATACGAGTATTCGCGATAAGAATTCTAGGATGGTTGATGGTTTAAACTTTAAATTATTAACAATATTATAGTAACTATAGTAACCTAAATATCAATTGCTGCATGTATGAAAGATCGCTGAGAACGGATATACCGACTTGGGTGATTTTTTTTTTAATATTCTGGAATTGTCTAATACTCGACTCTTTTTTCGAGTACTCGACATTTTTCGAGTACTCGAATTTTGAACTCGACTCGACTCGATGTAATTGAAACTCGATTCGACTCGACTTGACTTCAAAAAACCAATACTCGCCCAACACTATCTATTACTAAGACAGAGATAACACAATCATGCATGATGAACTTCTTAAATAAAAAATTATGATATATTGACTAAAATGGATATTATAAAATTCAATTGAGTTTTTTAAAGACATTTTAACGTATTGTAGTTAAAAGAATTCAACTTTTATTTTCCAAATTAAGTAGAGTATAGTAAATTTATCTCTTATGGAAAATGTTATATATACAATTTTCTATATCAATATCTGTTATTTTTATGAAAACAAAATTCTTAGCACAAATCTTTCAACAATTTTGTATCAATTATAGAGAATATTAAATCTTAGCGTAACTTAGTAAAAAACGCCTAAAGTGTTAATTTAAAATTTACATTAATTTCTATCATTACTTACCATTAACATGGTAACACATGTTGACTCTCAGCAAATTTAGATGTTCAAAAGTTAAATTAAATATGTAAAGAGTAAGATCTAAGCTTAAAGATATTTAATTAAATAATAATAACGATTTAAATTTTTGGTAATAAAATTAAATGTAAGAAAACACAAAATATTATGTCTTAATCAATTTTAATTAATAACAAAACCATTATATTTTCTTTTTAAGTATAGACTGTAAAATAGGTATATCAGAAAAAACTGAAATACTAGCTTGATAATCCTCTGAAGTAGTCAATTTAATTAACTAAAATACAAAACTTAGATATATCTAATAATAATGATTAAGAGTTATAATAACAATAATAATTGATTAACAGCCATCTAGTAGAGTAGAAAATATATAAAGCCTTTGATTAATCAAAATTTGAGGCATCTTTTTATGCATTTTAAAATGTAATTAATAAAACAGTAAAAAATTAAATAATTATGTACATATACAAATAATAAGTAAAAGATTAGTATCAGAATAATACAATATCACAATAATTTGAAGTAAGGTTTCAATAACAATAAGTTAAGTTGTTAAAGTTTATATTTTAGTTTTTGGACAAAAACTTTTAAAAATATCATTTTAGATTTTAATATTAATAATAAAAATTCAATATAGTAGCTATAATTACTAACTAGTATTATTATGAACTCTAATATATTATTAACCACTAAATTAATATTATAGGATTGCTCCTTTATTTTATAAAATTGCTATGAATTCGAACCAAAGTTTTAAAAGAAAATCAAATCGAATCCATGCATTATAAAAATTAAACTTAATATATGAAAATAAACAGGACTATTATTGTCTACTACACAAAAATTATAATAGATATTTTTTGTCTAATAACAAGTTTTTTTGTATTTACTATTTGAGTAATTTTGTGTAAACTGTTTATTTCTTTAATTCTAAGTTGGCAAATCATGTTTCATTATTTTTTAATATAAAACTAATACTTACACTAACAACCTAAGAGCTTGTATAAATATAATTTATAGATCTGGGTTAAAACCTCTGCGATAAGAGAAAAAAGATTTTTTTTTTTTATATCTTATGAAAAACAATAATTTGTACTCAAAACTTTATTTTTTTCAAAAATAAATTTAATTTGTTAAAAAAAAAAATGCAACACTTACTTTGAGGACAGCCTTTAGTACATGGTTCACAACTGCCAACATGGCACATTTTTTCACATTTATGGGAAAAGCAGTTTAATGTTTTGAAACAAATATTGTTGCATATAATCTGGGTTGACTGTCCACATTGAGCATAAACTCGTTTTTTTCCACATGCACATGATCTGAACATAGTTTAATTTTGTTAAAATTAAAATTAAATTAAATTTGATTAAATAATAACCTTAAGACTTGTACAACACATTGTGGACAAGGACCAGGATGACAAAGTAGTGTACACTTATGATGACAATCGTCATAGTTTAGATTAGAATTTTTTCTTTGCAATCCACAAACTTGACCACATGAATGAGGAGTATCCACATTATTATGATATGGATTTGGTAAAGTTCCACAAAAACAAATATATTTTGGTTTTCCAGTCATTTCACTTTGACATGCTGGACATCTCCAAACAGCATCTACAAAAATTATTTTTATACTTTAGTAAATAAAATAAAAAAATAAATATGGCAATAATTTAGTGTTAAGATGCATTATTGATATATTAGAAAAAAATATTAACTATACAAGTAATTTAATTTCTTGTCTTTATTATCTACCTAAAATTCACCTGCCATGTGGTCTTCTACATTTTTAGGTAATATGTAATTTATTATTTTAGAAAATCTGGCAGACCAAATAAATAGTAAAATCGCATAGCTAAACATTTAAATTACAAATTATGTATGTAAATATATTTATTATTGAAATTGTTATAATTTTTACTTAGATGCGAGATAATGCTATTTTATCATCAAGTTTAAAAAGTTGTTTTTGATGGCAATAATAATTTTTTAATCATAGTAATAAAAAAATTCCCATAAGTAAAATTTAGGCCTAACATTTTTTCACAGATCTACAATACAAGAATTCTGGGAAATGAATAATTCTGCTAAATAGTATAGGTTTTATAGAACAATTTTTAACATTTAAAAGCTTCTAAAAATTTAATCCATAAAAATATTAAATAATTAACATTACTTACTACGATGAGATTTAAGGAACCAAACTAATACGCATTTTAAATGCATAATTTGGTAACAATTACGACAGTTCCAAATTTGTTCTACATTTTTAGCTCGCTCATAACATATCACACAATCTACTTTGCATTCATTTAAAAGACTGATAAGTAAATCTCTTTGACTTTTATGTTGTAATGCATCTGGTATAGTTGAAATTGAACTAGAAGCTTCACAATTAGAGTTACTATTATTCCTAAAACATGAAAATTATTATTTAATGGTCAAATATTTAATAAAACATTTTTATATAAATGAATACCCACCCACTACTATTTGATGCACTGGAACTTGCACTAAATGTCATTGATCTAATGATCACATTTTCTCTTTGAATAGCATTATTATCATTATCTGCTATAAAACAAACATCAACAAATTAATAACATTTTGAAAAATAAAAACAATAAAGAAAAATTAATATTGATGCTATAATTTATTTAAGAAGACAATAGAAATAAACTTAAATTTAATAGACTAAACCAGTACACATGAGGGGAGAGAACATGAACTTTAAATATAGGTAGAATGACTAAAAAACATTCTGAGGTATTGTTAATGAACAACTTCTTCTACAAATTACTTATGTGCTAATAATGATAAACATTTTTTGTAAACCATTACTTATTGTTTTAAATAACAGATTGTAAATATATTTTAATAAAAAAAGGTAGAATGAAGCATGTAATTAGGTATAAGCACATATATATTATACATATTATGATTACTAATAATTATTATATATTATATTATAGGCTAGGATAAAGGTGGTAGGTTGATATGATTTATAAATATAAAATATTTAACAATTGGGTATATTTATTTGCTTATTACTTTAAGACTTGTGCATGGTTTTTAATCATAACACACACGGGTAGTTAATCACAACTAAAAATACTAATGAAAATGTTTAAATTATTAATTATGATAGATATCATATTTACTTAGAGGAATAAATTCTGGAGCGTTTGGCGATAAATTGGAAGTAACCCTGATTGTACTATCAATTCGACGACTGTTTCTTTTACGACTGCTAGTTCTCGGCATTGTCAATCACTTTGTTGAAATTAATTAACTAAAACAAAAATAAAAAATCATTTTCAAGTTCTTACGATTTTGTACAAAATTTTAATACAAGCACATGACAGGAATTGATAAATAATATATTAATTTTTCATCGCAACTTATTTTAAGTATTATCAAGTATAATAAATTCATGATAAATCAAAAAAAATGTTGTATTCATAAGACTTAAGTAGCGTAATTTATTTTGAAATATTTCACCAAAAGGACATCACACTATACTTTTACAAATGTACAACATATCAAATATAAGTTAGGTAGTTTCAATTTTATGTAATGTTTAATAATAGAGTGCATTGACCTATTACATAATTTAAAGGATAAAATATTATCTGTCACGAATTAAGATAATATATACTTTAATTTGTATTCGTCAATGGTCAGCATAGAAAAAACAGACCAGTCAAAATGGCGAGAATTAAAAAAATAAATAATTTCATGCGTAGAGTTGACATGGTCACCGTATGATCACCAATCACCATTATCCACGAGAATATCCGGTGTAAATAACGCTGATGTTCCATTCAGCAGCTTTTTTATCACTCACCGGAAAAAAATGCCAATTGTGTCACGAGATCTGCTATGCTGAACGACACCGTCATCGATGTACTGGAAAAATGATTAACAGCGAGCACGAAAGAAAAACAAGCGAACGACGGTGGTGGTTGAACCGACTTTGCGACGAGTCGGACAGACGTCGTTTACGAGAGAAAAAAGTAAAACGCGAACTTTGCCCTCATCCGACAAGCAGTGTAGCGGTGGCGAGAAGTTCTGAAAATCTGAAGTGGCGATCGCGGCGGACGACGGTGTCGGCGTCAACCAAGCAGCGAGCGCACGCGCATCACACAACAATAACACTAATCGGCAATCGCCGCGCACAGCAAATAATGGCAATTGGCAGCTGCTGGATGGAAGAATGCCGAATACCGACGGGCAATTGGCTGAGTACTGACGGTGCGTATCAGTGTGTCACTACGCCCCTTACTACCGAAATAACTGGTTTGACCTGTGTTCACGGAAGTGGACGCACTGATTGACCTTGCGCCTGTGAAAACCGAGCTATATAGACATATAGTGCATTACCGTATTTTCGGCAAACCAATCTTACATGTTCTGAAGACTGAAACGATGTAGCCGCGTAGGATGAGTTGTAAAGTTTTTCCATGATTGTCGGTCGCTATGGTAGTTGTGGTAGTTGTCGGTCCGTGTGTTTACTGTTTTCGAAAACACATGTTTTGAATCAGCGCCGCTAACAACGACGCCACGGAAAGACCATATTCTTGAGGTCCACCAGATCAAACGATCGTATCTTTTCTTCCATGACCCGTGCGGCCTTCGTGTGAGAGAGTCGAGTATTTATTATTTAATGTGTATGTATGCGACGGAGTTTTAAGTTCGATTTTTTTTTTCATTTCGTCATTTTGACGCTATTCTATCCACAACTACTACCACTAATACTACTACAACTAACTACTACTACAACTACAGGCGCTACACAGGTAACGAATACACTATACACTTTACAGTACACTACTACACTACGAATGTCGTCCTGTACAGTCCGTCATGATAAAATAAATTAAAGTCGCTTAACAAACGTCGCTTGGTCAGTACTCGGTATATTATTATCTGTTTTGTCGCGTTCTTTGCGCTGTTCCATCTCGTAAAAAATATCCTTCAGATCAAACATTTGAAGTGAAGCAAGTTCTAAATTCGTTTAAGTTGGCATTGCATTCAAAATAATTACAATTAATAACAACTAGGACGACGTTTAATTTCAAGTCGGTCTATTGCTGTTTTTGTGATTCCCGCGCTATGACGAATACGTGTTGTTGAAATAGCATACGATTTTTTTGGTACACTGCCTGTGCCACCGAGCAGCTGTCGACCGAACACTCACTAACTAAAATATGGGTCGCAAAAAGAAGAAGCAGTCCAAGCCATGGTGCTGGTATCCTTTTTATTGATATTACTATGATGGTTTTTGTTTTTATTCTATAGAATTAAATATTTATGAATATCCATCTACTCTTAATCAAAACCACCCATTTTGTATTTTAATGTAGCTACATGCATTTTTATCTGTTTATATACCATGTATGTGTTGTAATTATTATTGATTTCTCTTGTAGTTTACAACACATTTGTATGGGTTCTCTCGCGATTGATTGTAGTGTCTAAAATGACTCATACTAAATGTTAAGGAATAATTTAATTAAATAGATTTGATAGCCATGACATGTGTCTATTGCCAAAAATGTTTTTGCTAATTTACCATTACCTTGGAAAATAATGAAATGTATGTGTTACCATTTTGCCAAATATAATTAAATTTGTGCAAGTAATAATTAGAAATATACTATTAAACTAGCATCATTTTAACATGAAAGATTAATATTATATCACTTTGACTTGATTACTATCATCTTAATAAGTTTTATTTATTATTTTTATAATTTTTTATATCAACTTAAGTTAATTGTTTACATCAACAAAAATATGAAATGTTAAAATTGAATCATTGGTATTTTTTCATTCTCAAATTATAAAGCTATTGAATAATGTGAATTTATTCTAGTTTTAAAATAATTTTGCTTAAATAATAAGAGAACAATTTTCGATAATAGTCTTAAGTTTAATGTCTTAGGATAAATTATGATCAAAATTAATGTAGAAATATTACAGTTATATATATTTATTAATTAGTGTATCTGCATTATTTACATTTGTCCTAAATAATTCTATTGCAAAACTTACCTGATAACTTACAATGGTAATAGAACATATCCCCAAAAGCCTACTGCTATCGAAAAGTTAATCAGAATAAATATTTAAGAGATCTTTATACTAATTTAGAAAAGTTTTTATGTATTCTAGAGTTACTGTTATAAGTATAGGGTGTTTCATTAAGAACGCCGGATTTAATTTTGTTATTACTTTATTAATATTAAATATTAAGAACAAAAAAATTATATGAGCATGAAGTATACACACTCCGATTTATGTATGGCATATAATATCTAGCATATGTCCACCTCTGCTTCGCTGGCAAGCTTCAGTTCTGGCCACAAAATTGCCTATCACACGGTGACACATCCTGGTTTAGTTCACTAATAACACGACAAATTTCATCCTTAAGTTCTTCAATGGTTCACGGTTAATTTTCATAGACGTAAGCTTTAATGTAACCTCAAAGAAAGAAGTCCAATGAGGTTAAGTCACATAACCTGGGAGGTCATTATGGAACGCTAAATCCAGTGTTCTTAATGAAACACCCAACGCCGGATTTAAATTGCCCAGTAATTTTCAGGTCATGTGACTTAACCCCACTGAACTTCTTTCTTTGGGGTTACGTTAAAGCTCACGTCTTTGAAAATAAACCACGAACCGTTGAAGAACTTAAGGATGAAATTCGTCGTGTTATTAGTGAACTAAACCAGGATATGTGTCAGCGTGTGATAGGCAATTTTGTGGCTAGAATTGAAGCTTGACAGTGAAGCAGAGGTGGACATATGCTAGATATTATATTCCATACATAAATCGGAGTGTGTATACTTCATGCTCATATAATTTTTTTGGTTCTTAATATTTAATATTAATAAAGTAATAACAAAATTAAATCCGGCGTTCTTAATGAAACGCCCTATATAATATAGTTACCTAATCTTTAGTTGGTATTGATTTAATTTTTTTGTAGTTATGTCTTAAAAGTTAAAATTGTTTTTTTTACTTAAAATAAATAGAAAATAACTAAATTGTTAATTTTTAAATGTATTTAATCCTTAATTAAATAATAAGGTATTGTAATCGTGAATTTGATGATGAAAAAATTTTAATTCAGCATCAAAAAGCAAAACATTTTAAATGTCATATATGCCATAAAAAACTATATACTGGTCCTGGTTTATCAATTCATTGTATGCAGGTTAGTAAATGATTAATTCAACATTATTTTATAATTAAAGATAACTATTATACCTTTATAATATTTATTTAGTTATTTTATAATTCGACTTTTCTTCTAAAATAATCAATTATTTATTATAATTTAAATGTATATATTTTTGAAGTTTCTAATTTTTCAATTTATTAATAATTCATTAAATACTTAATTTTAGTTTGTTTTTTTTATACTTATCATAGTATAACAAAAAATTTTTTATTGTATCTTATAGGTGCACAAGGAGACAATAGACAAAGTGCCCAATGCACTTTCACATCGGTCTAATATTGAAATAGAAATTTATGGGATGGAAGGAATTCCAGAGGAAGATATGAAAGAACATGAGCGACAAAAGTCTGGTGGCAAAGGTTAATATAATATAACATTTTACATCGTTATAACTTATAAGTTATACTAGAGCTTGAATTTCAATGCATTTGCATCTTTTTTTTTAATGTCTTACATGATGCCTTCCAAGCTACAAACGTATTTCAAGTACTCCGTGTTCTAACCATATTTTTTTGCATTTTAGCGGATTTTATACTCTAAAGGACATTTTTGACGTATTTCTCATATTATGACTAAAAAAATTGACTTAATTGATACATAAGTACTATGCATAGTACAACGTAATATAAATTATTTTCATTTTTAACTTAACATCAGGTAATCTGGTTTTAAATTAGATGAAGCATTTTCAGTGGATAAAAATTTGTTGGCAGAAAACCGTCGATCATTTAAGTTTCAAAACATAAAAGAAGCTCTTATTGTACAGTGTAATACAAATGTAGTTTAATCATTTTTTAATTTTTATATTATACTTTTTTTTTTTTACATAGTAATTTGAATTTATATAATAAATAACGTATTTTTTGAAAGGACATTTTTTGGTATTTTTAAAAGCATTTATATCCCAAGCCCTAGTTATAACTATATATATATCTACAAATTAAATAAACAAGAATTAATATTTTTGTTGGTCGTATCTATTAATTTAATTTACTGTAAAAGATAATATAATTTTCTTAATAACAATTGAAAAAGAATAATTGTATCATATTTAAATGTATTCTAATTATAGGTACTCGATCAGATAGTGATGATGATGCTGGACCACCTATAAAGAAAAAACCTGAGTATTCAAACCCAGCTGGTCCTTCCATCATGCCACCTTATAATCCTATGATGAATCATATGCAAGCTATGGGCCCTCCTTATATGGGACCTGGGTAATTAAATAATCATTATTATTGGTATAGTCAAAAATAAACACTAGTATATGTATAACATTGATATTCTTAAATATAATTAAAAAATAAAATAAAACTATACAATAGTTAGCTGGTATATGATTATTATACCCTTTAAAATATTATAAATATTTTATTAACCCGTTACTGGTATCGCTATGTTTTGTATCAAAATAGGTGTCGTATTAGCGTTGTGCTAACATAATTATTTGTTGATGGTGTAGATTATTTAACAAACTTAGAATAGTAAAACAAGGGGATAAAAATATTTATCTAGTTATATTCTACAAATATTTGATTGCTAATTAAAATTGTCCATACAAATAATTTTTGATAGGAAAAAATATATATTATATTCATTATTTCCACTTTCTACATTATTTGGAATACAAAATCATCAAAATCATTTTATGTGTAATTCACTTTTAAATCAATACTGATTT